ACAGGAAATAGTTGTTTTGTTGGGAGATCTTGAGGTTTGTGCAGTAGGAAAAGCTGAGCACATCTTTACTCTAGCAGAAATGGTGCAATACATGAGGTTTTATTCAACAGAAGAAAGTGCAGTCCTGACAAAATCTCACATAGCTGCTGAGTCTACTTCTCTTCTTTAAATGTAGTCTTCAGTGATGAAGAGCATCCTCTGAAACGCATTGTCTACTCAAATCTACTAAATGAGGGGTTAAGGGACTTAAAAATTATACATATTTTCAGCCCTTCTGAGGATCTTATTCACACGATAAAACATTGTTCTGGATGCAGTAAAGAGGCTTAATTACACACTGTAGATAAAAGATAAAGCGAGGAGACCTGTAGGTGGGATGGAAATGATTATCTGTAAGTATATAGAGACTGAGCTTGCTGTGAGCTTACATAACTAATTGCCCACACCCGGCTGGCATTTGCATGAACATTTTCTATGAAAACCTAAATGCTTGCGATATCTGTTGGCACAAACAAAAGAAACAGATGTTTCAACTTTGATACCAAGCAAACTTGAAAAGAAAACTATACATTTAAGGAAAGACAAACCATAGAGGAAATTATAACTGAGTCCCATCTTTTTAGAAGCCCTAGAATTTAAAATGCTACTCTTAAAGTATAAGTGTTTTAAAATAGAAAGTACCAGCTCATTTTTTTCAATCATATGGTTTTCAGATTTTTCATTATATGCAAATACTATGAAAAGATGAAGTAACAGCATTTAGATCTTCATAGTAAACTTAGACCTATACACTTGAATACTCTTTGTGGAGAAATGTAAAATTACAAAACCATTGTCTTGTGTTCTTCCAACTACATTCATTCCTGAATGCTTCTGTCTGCTTCCAAGGCCAGTACCAAAAATAGCAAACATCTGTTTGGTATGTTATAGTATTATCTTGAAACACTTCCTCAAAAAGTTATGTTTCAAAGTCCAACCATAATTCATAGGTAAAAGAAAATTTTGTAAGTTGTATTACAAAATAGAGTAACATAATCAGCTTTATCTATAATTAAAGTTAACATCAATTCTATCCAGAAGAGTTACACTTCAGGAATAATTTTATTCACATAACTCAATAACATAAAGATACCACAATTATAAAATGAACAGAATCCTTGATTAGCTATTTTTCGGAAGAATAAATACAAATAACTAATAAACAAATGAACAATATTTGACAGCAGTTGTCATCAGAGGAATGTACATCAAAACCACAGAAATGCCACTTTATAACCACCGAGATGCCTATAATAAAAGGCCAGATAACAAATTCTGGCAAGAGTACAATTCTGATGATAATATTATATTCTATAAACATTTTGGAAAATAGCCTAACTGTTCTTTGAAAACTTACTTCTAGTGTTTCCATTTGAAACAGTAATTATATTTCTAGAAACACGGCCAAGAGAAATGAAAATATATGCCCACAAAAAATGAATCTAGCCAGGTGCCAGTAGCTCACACCTGTAATCCTAGCTACTGAGATCTGAGGGTCACAGTTCAAAGCCAGCCCAAGCAGGAGACTCCCTGAGACTCTTATCTCCAATAAGCCAAAAGTGGCACTGTGGCTCAAGTGGTAGAGCGCTTGCTTTCAGCTGAAGAGCTGAGGGACAGCACCCAGGCCCAGAGTTCAAGCCCCACAACTGACAAAACAATCAAAAGTAAAAAAAAGAATCCAAACTTTTATAGACATATTTATAAAAGATGTATTTCATACCCAAGAAATAGAAATAAACAAAATATCCATTAACTGATGAATGGAAACAATATGCTATATTCTTACAAGAAAATATTGTTCATCAATTAAAAGATAATATAGCAGAGATGACAACATAGAAATATGGAAACCATTAAACAGAATAAATAGAACAAAATACAAAAGACAGCATATTTTATGAATCCATTTATAAGAAAACTCCAGCATAAGCAAGTCTAGAGAGACAAAAAGCAGACTACTAGCTGCCTGGTACAGAGTACTTGGAGGGGAAATAGGGAGTGAACATGACTAATTATGGACTTTATTTCTGGAATAAATGACAAAATGTGTTCTAAAATTAGATTGGGGTGGTGATGATTGCATAGCTCTACAAATAAACTAAAAACACCAAATTGAAAAGCTTAATGGATGTAATATATGATATGTAAATTCTATAAAATTCAATAAAATTTTTGTAAAGAAATACTTCCATATTGACAGACCCTTTGAAGAAATAAAAACTGCTTAAAAGGAAATTTTACAAGAGAGAGGAAACTAGACACATGCAATGAATAATTTATAACTTTAATCACCATCTAACATATTGATCGGCACAACTGTTCAAATTGTCTTGGATTAAAAATGCCGTTATTATCATTACTTTGGTGACCCCAGTAGAAAACTCTGGATATCCTCTTTTAGCCAGAAATTTTTCTCAGTAGCTGATTTTATACTCTTAAATCTATTATCTCTATGATCAATCTGTTTCTTCTTTATGTTTTTTGGTCCTTTGCTGCCTCCTCTTTTTCTCCATAAAGGTGGTTATTCCCCAGCATTTTGTCTTCAGTAATCTACACTTCTCTGCTCACTTTCATGTTCTCTTCCATAGTTATTTTTGTACATCAAAAACAAACACATATATCCAACCAACTTTTAAACAACCAACTACCATATGTCAGAGTTTATGCTCGCTAAGTATGGGAAATTCTAAAATAAGAAACAAATTGTATTGTCTATGAAGTGCTTCCAGTTCATAACTACAATGAAATATTTCAGGTCCTATAACCAATGCCTGTGCCTTCTCCTCATTTCTACTTTCCATTTCCAGAGTCATACTATATAGTTCCATATCAATGCAGTCATAACGTCAATGATGCCCTGCTTATATCTCTCCCTATTTTAAAACCCATAGCCTCTGTATTTCTGTTCATAATCATTAATGGCTTTCTATGGTTGAAGAAACAAGTACAAAATCTGCATTTACACTTTTATGTTCCTTATACTTCTGCAACATTTCCTACTTATCATAAATGACAACTCTATTTGCCCACAACCTCTGTTCAGATTGAACTGAATCCTTGACTTTTCGACATTCTACATCCTTACCTTTGCTCAGAATACTTCTCTTGCTGGACTTGCGGATTGTTCTATTCTAAATTGATAACAAAAGAATATTGAAGACATAAGGTGAAAAAAAGTTATTAATAGTCCAGTATGGATGTTCTTGGTTGGTGTGTGATTTTTACCTCACATTTTTCATGACTTAATTTTTTTCTTCATTTGTAAAGTAGTGATCCTTGATGTGACATACTTCACTTCTAGTCACAATCCAATGGTTAGCAAGCATTTATGAGTCTGAAAATAACTGTCTTACTGTGAGCCTGCATAGAAGAGCCTTTTGTAACTATTGCAAATGATAGTGAAAATTTCCTTTTCAGTATTTCATAATACTTATTGTCTTTGTTGTTTATTTTGCACTTGTCACTTGCTGACTTACAAATATATTTTTCTTTTGAGGTTACAGACATATTTTCCTTCTAAATGGGATTTAAAATTTCCTAAAACTAGATATTACAATATTCTCTGCATATATGTTGTCATTTTAGAACTTAGTCCAAAAGGTATTGTCATAGCCAAGTTCTTTATACCCTTTAAAACTATGGCGGAAGCCCGGTGCCCGTGGCTCATGCCTGTAATCCTAGCTACTCAGGAGGCTGAGATCTGAGGATTGCAGTTCAAAGACAGCCAAGGAAGGAAAGTTCTTGAGACTCTTATCTCCAATTAACCACCAGAAAACTGGAGGTAGCACTGTGGCTCAAGTGGCAGAGCGCTCACTTGCCTTGAGCTGAAGAGCTCAGACACAGCACCCAGGCCCAGAAGTCAACCACCACCACCACCCCCCAAAAATCAAGTATTCAACCATACCATGAGACTTTACTAAAAATATGATATTATGTAAACAAATGGAAATATCAAATATTACCCTTTATTTGCCTTCCTATACTGATGGACCACTGCTTGTCAAACAGAGCCTTTTCTCCTATTGTAAACAGGCACAGACGAACTATCACCATTACTTAAAATATTCTAAGTCATATTACCTCACCAGTTGAGTAATGCTTAAAACTGATTTTAATTTTAACATTTTCTAAAATTTCTTTGAGGTTTATGATATTCTAGAAAATGAAATTCTGTAATCACCACATTGTAAGCCAATGAACAGTGCAGTACACCTGTATTCAACATTATTACATAAGAAAGAGAAAATGACTTACATCTAAAGGAAAAGAAAAGAAAATATAGATTTAACTTGTTGCAAGAGGAATGTTGGGCAAGTGTATAGAAGGCCTGAATAAAATTAATGCACATTCAAATGGCTTATTACATCTTTTTAATCCCTAGAGAATATTAGATGTGTTTCAGGAAATCAGTGTAGATGCTAGAAATCCAAGGGATAAAGAAATAACCTCTGGGAAGGTCCTCCTCAGCTTCCACAGCCCAGGTCCTAGGATTTAAGTTATTTTTGGCTTCCCTTCTGAAAAGGCTCAGGAAGACTCTAAACAATGAGAGTAAAAGCTGCTCTTTATTTCTTTTTTTTTCTCCCTCTGACCACCCTAGATCTGTTTTTGCCACAACTTCATAAGTATTTCAATTACTTGTTCCTGCAACAATCCTGCAAAGAAGCTCTGCCCCACCCTCTTCTTACAGATGAAGATACTGAGGTTAAGTGATTTTCTCAGGGTTACAAAGATCCTTAGCAGCAATGAGGGAATGAGAACTAACGGTTCAACTCAATAGATTGAGTTTCTGAGCAGCTTGACTATTATATTGCAAAGGGGCCACTCAGAGGCCTGGCTGAATGTGTGAGTCCTGGGAATGAAAAGGAGGCTGAGAGGAAAGCATTTTCCTTCTTATAAATGACACAGGCAATTGTCTAAAGTTGGAAAGAAAGGCCCTTTAGAGAAAGAGCCTTTTTTTAAAGAATACAAACAGCAGGACACTCAATTTGGGACCCTCCTTCAATGAGACCATTGTCTATGTACTTGCAGACAGTGCCGCGGAGGAAGCCGGGCTCCAGATTGGAGATGTGGTGCTCTCTGTCAATGGCACGGAGGTCACCAGTGCAGAGCATGCAGAAGCGGTGCACCTTGCAAGGAAAGGTAGGTGGAGCCAACAGACAGGGTCCAGAGCCCAAGCATGCAGGAATTTCAAATGTGGGAGCAGCACAGCACAGAAAAGCTACAGATGTCCTTTTCTCCCCAGTATCCCTTTAATGCATTGTTATCAACAAAATTTGCATAGGAATTAAATCACATTTCCATCCCATATACCTTTTGTTTCCATGATCAACCACAATAATGAACCCAGAAAATGGTAGTGAGCAAAACATAGTCTTCTATCAAAATAGTTGTTTAAACTCCTTACACAAAAATACGTGTGCTCCTTACAAAAATGTGTTTATTCTGTCTCTTTCTTTCTCCCTACATTCACTCCTTCTTCCCTCCCTTCCTTTTTCCTTGTCTTTCTTTCCATAAATTTGTACAGTTAAGAGCCTCAGGTTTTAATGTGAAAAAGTGAAGGGGAGAGGAAAAGTGGAAGAAAGGCTGAGCAGCGAATAGAGAGAAAATTTTAAAGCTTGAGCCTAAAGCTTCTACAGATTCTCTGACATCCACTTGAATCTTTCCCTTAAAGCAATTTTAGCACGTTTCTTGCCACCACGAGAGCAAGCAATAATGTATAGCCCTGCATGCTTGCACCCCTTAGCAGTAAACTTTGGAAAGATTAATACCATTTTTTTTCCTCTGGAAAACAACTTACTCTCTTTGTCACAATGTCACAAATCCTTATCTCCCTGTGGACCTCAAAATATACAGCTGGTAAACACTGTGCTCCATCATAGGATTATTTGGTATAGTATCCTCCTATCCTTGGCTTTCTGGTGACAGAATACATACTGCAGTAATCTGAAATATATTATTGGACAAAGACATTTTAAAGAATGGGCCTTTGGGATAGGCCACCTGTGTCAAGCAGTAAGTATAACTTGCTGAACAGTAAGTTATCACTTGCATTTTCTCAGGCTTAATGATTAGCAACCTGGGAGCACTTCTCTAGTGGAGACTAGCATGAGAAAATCACTAAGAATGGTGTTCCTTGGTAAGTTTTTCTGAATCTTTTCTAAAGGAGATGACTTGATATTTTGCTGCTCTAGAAAACTTGTACTAGGTACACAAATATTTAAGACATTGTCAGTCAATATGAGCAACAACTGCTTATAAGTCTCACACAAACATTTATCTTTGTGCAGTCTGACTCACAAACTGAAGTAATAAAGTAATGATTATAGTAATGACCTGGTTTTATCTCAAGCTTAGGTATTACAACATAATTCTTTTACTGTTTTTTTAATTAAATGGATATATAGTGATTTTTTTCTCTTAATACTTTTATTTTTCCTCAAGCTTAGTGTTCTTCATAATATTGAGCCATTTGCCTTACTAAATCAGTTAATTGAACACCTCTAAAAGTTGAATAGAGAAAATTCTAACTTGTGATAAAATGGTGAAATAATATTAGGAGGTAATTAATTCAGCATACTAGCTTGAGCTGCTTCTGGGAATACTTAGTAGAATGGGTTTTGTTTGCTGTTATAATCTGGGCTCAACTACCCCTTATTTTCTGCCTATAATCCCCTCCCCAGAGGAGACCATGACCCTCTGTCCTTTACAGATCCTCAGCCCAACATAGAAGGTGCCTCAGAAGTAGAAACTGAATTCTAGATCTGAGATGCTAAAGGATAGAAAAAGACTTTTGGTAAACTAAAATCAAGTCATACTTCTATTTGTTGAGGAGGGTGGTAATTACAGCCAAAAGAAGAAGAATGAATAACGTCCCATGTAAGAAATATGCTAAGGGACTTGGTTTTATCATTTTCCTCACATGCATGACCATGAGTGCCAAATTCTTCACCCCAATATTACTGAAAGCTAGAAAAATGGCAGCACGCATTGTGGACAATCTGTACAATGAGCCCAGGTGGATCAAGGAGCCAATCATTCCTTACTCAGACAGTCTTCTGAGAATCCCTAGGACTGATTAAGTATAGCAAAGCTATACAAGACAGACTCCCTGAAATTCAGTCACCAGGTCAAAGTGTAAACAAAGCAAAAATACAATGTCTGCACCAAGAGGGCAACCCAAAAGACCCCCTCCCTGGTGAAATTACTCTCAGCACCTTCTCTATCCCCACCAATAGGGGCAGCAGCTCTGATCTGCATTTCAAACCTTCACCGCTGCACACTATATATTTTCTGGGATTAAAAAACAAATTCCAATATAACAGAATTTGCCTAGTAAAATCGAGACATCTGAGACACACCATTGCAGGTTAAAAGAAAAAAGGATGTTCTATGGTACAATTCATAATAAGAAAATAACTGAAGAGATTTGAGAGAATAAGCATTTGAAATCAAATCAGCAAGTGTCATAAAAGTGGTGAGGGTAGACATTTATAGAATATTGGCAATGGAACAGAAAAGCCAATGTAAAGAGGAACCAATGATCAGTTGGAGGTATGAAGAAGATAATAGTTGAAAAAAAAAGTATGTTAGATAAGTTGGATAACAAAAGATAATATAGTAGGAATATATGTAAATTATCCAAATTATTTCATATAAAAACTCTCATAACTAGATACCAGTGGCTTACATCTGTAATAGTACATATTTAGATGGCTAAAATTGGGATAATTGAGGTTTGAGCCCATCTTGGGCAGGAAAGTTTTTTAGAAAACCCCCTCCCCTAACTTCTGAAAGTTAGATGTAGTGTCATCTACCTGTTATCCAGAATGGTAGGATACAGCCCTATAACAGGATATTCCTTGACAGGAAATGAGACTCTGTCTCAAAATAACCAGTACACAAAAGAGGGCTAGGGGTGTGGTTCAGCAGCAGATTACCTGCCTTGCAAGTGGAAGGCCCTGGGTTCAAAATCTAGTACTGCCAAAAAATGGAGGAGAGCAAGAAATCCTCACAGAAATTATCAGGGAGAAGGGTAAAAAGAAAATATATTAAACCATTAATAAGCACAAACAATAACATCAGAAAAACCTGGTGATAATTTAATCAAGTGCCTAGAAAATTAAAATCAAATAGGAAAGAAAGCTGCTTTAAATGTTTTTTCTAGAAATAACGAAAGAAGAGAAAACTTTAAAAAATTCAGATTACCAAATGGATGGTAGCAAACCCCTCAAGTTGGCATATGATAATGAAATGTAAGAATATCAAACATGAAGAGAATTATTTTTATATTTCAAGAGAGAAAAACCATATAGCCTCTAGAGAAAATAAAATCCAATAGACATCAGACTTGCTAATAGCTATACCAGATGCTAGGGTAAAATGAAGTAATATTTTCAAAATCAACATAATAACTCAAATGTAATATACCTCAAAACTGTTACTTAAATAGAACTTTACAATAGATTAGTTTCATTTATATCTTTAGAAAAAAGATTATCTTGACATATCAGATAGATCATTATATTAATAAGAAAATATAGCCCAAATGAATTTTTGTTAATCATAGGAAATAAAGCTAAAGAAAAACTACCTTAAAGTTTTTCTGTTGTATTTATGAGCCTCTCCCCAGATCAAAAATTCAACTCAGAATTTATCAAATCTTAAAAAGTGGTTTTAAAAAGAATGTTACAAACTATAAGCATCAGAAAAGGAAAATGTCAGCAAGTTTACAGAGTAGGAAGACCTGGATCATCCTCTCCCTTCCTTTGATATAAAATTTAGCAACAATTCACCCTTAAGTTTCTTTTGTACAAAGTACAGAAACTAATGGAAATACTTCACATCCTAGGCAAATAATAAAGTAGACTCCTTGAAGCCAGAATCCCTATACTCAACATAGCAACGAAGAGAAAACCCATGTCTACCACTTTCTCTGAGATAAGGGAAGATGCTGGGGCACACGTCCAGCACCTCCTGTTTTCTACTTGTGTCTCCAGAAGATTGGTGATTTTCAAGTCTTACAGTTCTCATGGAGAACAGAGATGGGAGTTTGGGATGTTGAATGTCACGATTTCCTCATTCTCAGCATATCATAAGAAGACCAAAAGAACAAGAAGACAAAACAAAACCTAGCTCAAAAAAGTAATTCAGCTTCTTCATGGCTGGCAGCTCATTTTCTAGACAGGCACCTCTAAATCAAATGTAATCCAATTCTTCCTATTTGTAGTGGACATGATGTTATATAGAGAAAAACTAAAGATCCCCAAGACAATCTTTTTAAACTAATAATTTGGTAATATCGCAGTCTATAAAAATCAATACACAAAAGTTAACTTGCTTTTCTACACACTATCTGTAAAACAATTCAGGAGAACAATCCCACTTCTCATAGCAACAAAAGAAACAAAATACTCAGGCTTAAATCTTACAAAGGAAGTGAAAAACTTGTGTACCAAAAGCTAAGAAACATCAGTGAAAGAAATTAAGAGGATACAGTGAAAGATACCTTATGTTCATGAATCAGAACTTGTATTACTATAATGTTCATAGCACCCAAAGCAATCTATAGATTTGATGTTATGCCTAAGAAAAGTCTAGTAACATTTTAACATATCTGGAAAAATGATGCCAAAATTCATATGGAGCCACAAAAGACAACAAACAACCATATCAGTCTTGGGGGAAAAGAGCAAAGGTGATAGTACCACACTTCTTTGTTTCAAAATCAATCACAAAATTACAATAACAATAAACAAAATAATATGGCTCTGTCATTAAGGCAGAGAAATAGGCCAGTGGAACATGATAGCCAGATAAATGAATGCATGTAGAACCAACTCTTCTATGGGGGTACCAAAAACTCATAATGGATAGGGGACAGTGACTTCAAAGCTAGTCTTGAAAAAGTATGTGGTAGGATCCTTGCTTGGCATCATACACAAAAATTAACTTATTTTAACATTAGTAAACCCATAAACCAAACCCAGAAAAACGAAAGGGGTTGGTTTTAAGAGTAATTTTTGGATATGACCCAAAAGCACAGTTAACAACTGTGATCTAGTTAACAACTAGATCATACCAAACTAAACCACTTCTAATAAGGAATGTGTCTTTAAAATATATTCAGAACCACAATTTCA